TCAAGCTCACTGATGGTTTGGAATTTTTTATCACCAATGTTAAGTTTCTGATAAAAGGCATTACCTCCTTAGGAGCATCTGCCTCAACATATTGCTGGTAGATCTGCTTGGCTCTGGTCGCCAACTTGGAAGGTGCAGTCGTCTTGTAGTCTTCGCAGGTGAGCCAGAAGTCCATGTTCTCCTCGCTGAACTCTGACCTCAGGAAGCTGGTGAAGACCATACGACCCGCTAACACAGACAGAAAGAAATATACATTTCATTAATATAATTACAGAACCATGACGGCAGGTGACGAGATTTGAGAAGACACACATTGGCAATGCTGATTCATTCTGTAGAGTAATAAATGATATATTGCCGCTCCTTTTTAAAAGAATAAGAAAATATAGCCTTGTCACATGTCCCAGGTAAAATGACCTCAATCTGACATACTTGGTAGCCAGATGTTTTTATGAATGATGCAGCATAATCAGTTCACTGCTCCGATTTTAGGTACCAATGCATGCCAAAACATAGCCAAAATGCTTCTAACTACCCTGGCCCAAGCTAAAAGCTATATATGGTTTTGAACACACTCCCAGTTGTTCATCAGGTGCCAGAAAACAGCAACTGAATCATTATCACATCAATTTTGAGACATTAACATAATGACAGCAAGACAACATGAAAAAAATGGTGCATTAAGCTGCCATTTAGTATCTGTCTCAGGGGGGCTAGATTGATCTGGACTTCAGCTGGATTGCTTTAAAGCACCAAAGTGAAATAGGCAGCTGTCATCCCCATGCAAATGGAGCTAAAACTTTTCAGTTTCTGGTAATAGAAGTTGTTAAAAGACAGTGAAGGATGGAAAAGTCGATTCAAATTTGCTCATCTTGAGAGGAGAAAATAAGGACTCAACAAGCAATGCCAGGAAGACTAAAAAGCAGTGCAACTATACTGAGTTCTTACATTATCACAGCAATAATTGTATCCGGTCTTTTTGGAAGACAAGTGTTTTCCAATAACCAAACCAAATAATTAAAGAGTACAGTAAACACAGACCTGAGCCTTTATAGAAGTCATATTTTTACCAAACTGATTAACTACTGCTGCTCCAAAACCCTACATGACTTAGTGAACATATGTGGAGACCACTGAGACCACCATAAGATAAACAAGAGAAGACCAGACCAATGAGGACTGACGGATGAAGGAAGACGGAAGACATGACGATAGTGGAAGTCAGTGGATGAGGTCATGGAACGGAGCAAGTCAGAACTCAGCTGGTTCCCTCAAGGTCATTGATCTCATTTTGTGTCCATGCACAGTGTAATTCTCAGAGGGCTTATGCACACACAGACACATCTAAACTCAACACTGGTCAGCGTGCCCTGAGGGGCCATTGAGTAGTGCCTTGAGACACGTAGCCAAAGACCAGAGCATGAGAATGTGTCAGAGAGCGCCTGTGTGTGTATGTGTGCTCAATTTGCCTGTTTTATTTCCTGCAGCCTCCTTAACGTTCCTTTAACATCATGAACACAGAATTAATGTGTCAGAGGATAGGAGCAGGGTGATGCTACTTAATTAGTTACTAATTACTTAATTCTGTTCTACTATTATTTTATTTTTAATTTTGTCCCTGACAAAGAGTGGAGAAAGAGATTAAGCATCACTTGTCAGATCGCCAAAACCTTACTGGCATTCAGTAGCGAGGAATGTTAAGGGTCAGGGCCTTGTCTGATTATATTCCCATGATTACAGCACCATCATGTCACATGAGAACGGACATCTTTAATTTTGAGTTATTTTTTTTGTAAACCCAAGAGAGATTCAGCTGAAGAACTAATGAGTCAAGCATCCGCCTGACTGTTTGTGGCAGTATTATTAATATCCGACAAACTCCTTTGGGTTTGCTTTGGATTTGGAACACAAGCTCATTAGCCTTGTTCGAGCTCAGGTTGAACTTCTGTAGGTGTGAAACAATAATGCAACACTTACTTTCACTGCTCATCATATGGCTGAAAGACTCCTTCCATTTATCCACCTCAGCTGCAGTAGGCACCCTAAAACACAGATACAGACAGGTTCTTGAATAAGGCTGCATGGGCTTCCCAATTTCAAAGAAAAGCTGAAATATGCATGTATGTCTGTGTAAACTGTTATACTGTTTTGTTCTTCAGGATGTATTTGGGATAAAAATGATGAAACTCTATCAATGAAACCAATCAGCTTGTATTCTCATTAGGAATTCTGCATAAAACCATGTCCATTCTGTGTGTACATAAGGTTAAATGAAGTAATTGTTTGTGCAGCACTTCCTCTATTGAACAGGTAAAGAACCCGACCTGCTGGCTTCCTGTTATCCCACCCAAACAAATACCAAAAGAAACTATTTGAAATATTGTCTGAAGACATATTTATATCACAAGAAGACACATTTTTGGGGGGGGAGGTTTTCCTTTTGCTCTAAATCAGTACAGCCATTCCAGACCCCAGCTGCACCAAATCACTGATCAATAATGGCAGCAAATCTAATCATACCAGCATGCGTCATCTGGCATTTGCACAGCTAGATCTACAGTACAATAATGCCTCCCTAAAGATTTCATCACCTCAGAAACAATGACATTGACAAAAATATATAACAGCTATACCAAATTAGAAAACCCTAATCTATATTCCTATTTATCACTTAAATAATTATCACAGAGGCTTTACAGCACGTCTTTGTGTTGTGAATGGAATGAATGATAGTGCTGCTGAACAATTATAGCAGGAAAACTGAATATTGATTATCTATAAGTGTTTCTGAATGGGTTACATGCTACTGAAAAGGAAAGGTCAGGGGAAGGGCCATCGTTGCTAACCTGCTCACGAACATTAAGGGGCTTCTTGAAGTAACGCAGCCTTAGAGCTGGTCGTTAAAGCCAGAATATGCTCAAAACAACATGTTTCAAAATGTATACCCTGACAGAAAAGGTAGTCATATGCCAAAGTGATATCTTAGGCTTTAGAATTGTTCTCCATGGTAACATTAACCAACATCTGCAATGCAATTACACACATGAAGGGAGACACAGGCTGATTTCAAAACAAAACAAAGCAAGTTCCACTGAACCACAAGATTCAAAAATCAAGCAGGAAATTATTTATTTCCTCTGACCTCTTTGCAGCAGCAGCAGTCTTCTCTTTCATCTGCTTCTGATCTGCTGCATGGGTTTCAGGTTTCTGGAGTAAGAAGCTTATTTTGTGCTTGATGTCTTTGGCGCTGTGGAGAGGCAAATGAGGACAGTGAATGGAATGCATTTTGAAAGATCGTTTTTGCAGTAACATTTCTGACTTGCTTGTATCTGCTCTATGTAAACCAGTGATTAGCAACCAGTTCCTCTTTTTCTATATTTAACTGTTTTTTTAGACATTTACAGGTTTGAAATAGCAATTGTTTTACCTAAAATATAAAATATAAAGCTCATAGAAACTGGCATGTATACACATATATAAAAGCTGCATTTCATTGCTGTTATTTCAGCAGGAATATAACTTTTATCCACCTGTTAAAACTTTAATTGGTCTTACCTTTTCAAGCATGTTGCAGGAAGTGTTGCGAGTCCTTTACACATGGTGCACTGTTAAAGATCCAAAGTGACAAGAGAGACAACAATGTGACTGTGAGCCAGAGTTTCTATATCAGTGATCTCCAGTGTTAGACAGCAGGCTGTGGGTGTCTCCACCCCCAGCAGTGGTTTTATAGCTCCAGAGTGCTCAATGACAGAAAACTGACCAATCACATGAGACAGGGAGAGAGAGAGGGAGAAAGAGAGGGGAAACAGTCATGGAGAGAGACTGGGGGAAAATTACAGCAGAGAGAATCGTATGCAACCAAAACAAAAGGTGTTTTCCACTAAGGGAGGCTTCGCAAGAATTTGATGAATGACTGAAGTTATCCCTCTGTGGGAAAAAACAGGGAGCTTTCTCAAACTAAGAAAAAAAAATCCAGACATGGATACCATCTTCAGCCTGATTGTCAGTGCTTTCAGTGTTGTAATTTGTTTGTACTGGTGCACCCATTTTCCCTCAACATAAAGTGGTGAGAGATTACAGTTCTACACATATTAATAAAACCCTCTTTGTGTCCCTGTCATTCCACAACATATGTATACTATATATGTGGCATAATGTTTGCTTTTTGAAGTGTGCAAACTAATCGCTCTATTCACATTTCTGCAATATGTGTCCTAATATACATTCATTAAAAACTTTTAAATGACACTGCCATTTCACAAAAAAAAGGGAATGATCCAATACATTCAAACTGTGACTGTGGGAAATCACTGCCAATTAAACTGAATAAAGACAAAATGTTTTTCCAAAAACTAAATACTTTTTGGCATCTTCTTGGACCTGCCTCTCCCCACCCCCAATCCTCAACGTACTGTACTATTTACTTACTACGATACTACTACTGTTTTGAAGTCCCCTAATGAAGTAGAGCATGCGATTAGGGACAACAGATATTTGTTTTGTTCTACTGGGGCTCTACACCACCATTTGCAATTCACTTGACATTTGCAGCTGTAAGTGGCTTGTGCATTTTCACCTTTTTTTTTTCTGCTGCTGAGCAACAGTTAGAGGAAATCCAAATGTCCAGCACCACAGATCCACAAATCCAATTCATTTGAATTCAAATCACTTTATTGCAGAGGCACGTAGAGTAGTACAATTAAAAAACACACATAGCATGCAGTGTAGCATTGCTGATTTGCAGTTATGCATTTCATAGAATACAGGGCAAACATAGGGTACACACTAAGTTCCTAACATAATATCTATTATAATATAATAAAATGACACTGCAGTATACCCAGTATGTGTATTGATGGGTAGTCTTATGATGTAGAGCTGCATGGTAATTCAATAACATAGATGAGGCAATCCACTATGAATGAGGTGATGAATAAGGTAGAAGTCCACGGCCAAAGTCATGTGCTAGTGTCAGAGGGTCAGGGAGGGTCAGGAGCTGAGGAGCTGGACAGCCTTGGGGTCTGCCCTTTTCCGTTGTGTCTTCACAAAGCAGTTCAGCTACCTTACTCTCTTTAAACATCACAATATGATCAAGACCTGTTCTGACCTCAACAGCTTGAAATATGATTGCCTTNNCTTTTTTCATGAGACAGGTCCGAAGGAGAAGGACACATTTTTTAAAAGTTGCTAAATAAACGCCTGCACACTGTCTCACTTGCAATAATACATTTATTTGTGGCGTTTCTGTGCTAGACCTTTGTGACAATGAGAAGCAATATGCATGTGCAATAGGAAAAACCAAACATCATATAACAGTGTCTAATAACATACATGGTGCTATAAAAGTAAAACCCTCTGTGTGGAAACAAACATAAATGTACCAACCCCAAATTAAATTAAATTAAATTAAATTAAATGAGGGGATTACTATAAAATGAATGCTTAAAGCCTAACGGCTAAACTGCCTTCTCAAAAGCATACATTGTAGATGTGCCTGTAGACATGCATTTACATCTCACAAAAATGGCCAGGCACTACATCAGTGTATACATATTTTAAGTAACCATCCAACCAACAACATTTACTTCTAACCAATCAAGGCTGCATCCATTAAATTAAGTAGGTTCCTATAAAATAGATCATCTCCAGTAACAATCAAAAAATGCACATTTGTGGATTAATCTAACATAAAATATAGAAAAAGTCACCCCTAATAATCAATTTAATGAAAATCCACATTAACATTAACATAAATAATATATAATATAATATAAATATAATATAATATACATAAATAATGCAGCATCAATACATACATATACATACATATATGTATAAATAAACACAATCAACAGGTCACATTGGTAAATTAATCTGTAGCCCTGTACATATGTATACTGTCTGGACAGGAACAACACTTCGAATTAATCTGAAGTAAAAAGGACATACAGCGATCTAGAAAAATTCATTATATGAGACCACAGGAAAATATAGAATAGAATAGAATACAGATAATGTGTGGATGCACAAGTGACAAAGCTGTTCATATGAAATGTGCAGGTACATGAGGGAATGGGAGAAATAATTCGTTTTTTCATGTTATTGCACTGTGCCCAACTGCCCAAGGGGATGCAAAGTTGACTTGAGGTTACTTGACTTGATTTCTTATTGTTGTCAAAATTTGCATGAACCAGGTGATCCCTAATGTTTTCTCTCTTTTCCTTACAAGTAGTGGTGGGTCAGACTTATGCCAGATCTTACTGCAGTAGAGTGGACAGAGTGATAGCTGTATACTAGAATTTATTTTGTATTTTATCACTTTTTATGACAGAGCACATCATTAATGGTGGACAACTTTTGAGGACCAACTCATAAGCTTGATTAATCACTGTGTAAATGTATTCATATTTTCATGTCTACTCCATTAAGCCCTCCATGAAAAAACAAATCCTTCTCAGTTGAAGGATGGTGTTTGTGTCAGTGTCCTTCTGGTAAAGTGCTGAAATGATTAAACCTTTTTTTTCATGACCCACATGCCTAAGAAACTCACTTTTTCATTACTTCTGTTTGATGTGAATTATAAATTACTGTTGAAACTGGTCAACAGAGCAACAAAATCATAAGATTTGCCAGATGGTGTCCTAACTCTTGACTCCACAATCCTTTGTCAATGAAATCAGTCAAGTTCTTGCTTGTCTGTGCTACAGTGGGATGGCCCGAAGGTCAGAGAGGGATTTATGTACTTTTGGAAAATCGTATATTATAGGTAATAGGATGCTTGCAATATTGGAAGTCAAATTCTGATTTAGAAAGTCAGAAATCCAGCCTCTTTTTTTAGCACCTTCAAGATAAGAGGCTATTTCTTGTTGAAAAGAAGTGGTAGGGTCATGATTTATCTTTTTGTGATTTTTTGTTTAGCATCCTTGACCTAAGAGACAGATAAGTTTTTCATTAACTGAAATGGGTTTCTGAACCAAAAGGTGCACTATTAGTCCAAAGCCACTGCATATAAATCAGGAGTAAAACCTTTATCTTGAGATTGAGCTGAAATGTGTGGATCATTGAGGTTTAATAATTTACATCCATATTTACAAGCTTGCCCTCTTCTTTCTGGCCTTTGTTGGACCATTGCAGCATATCTTGGCATGTTACCGCCACCTATAGATCAGTGGAATAGTGTGACACCATTGGTAGAACTGTGTATTGCGTCAAGCCAGATGAAAAAATATAATCTCATCAAAAAAGTGCTACTAGAAGTGGCAAACTCCACAACCTTTGAAGGGTCTAAAATATTCTTCAGGTCGAGGCTCAATTGAAAGTATCTATATATCTTGTTGCATAAGTGACGCAGGATCATTTAAAATGGGGCAGAAAAGGTTAGGTGTGGACATCCTGTGATGGACAGAGTTGGAGAGGTTGGTTGGCCGTGCAAATTGAGAACAGCATTCTCCAGTGGAAATGCCACACATCCTGTCTTGTGTCAAATTGTTTTTTTTAATCATTTCCTATTAACTATAACAGTTGCAGATCAGAATAATAATAATAATAATAAATATCAATCACTGCATGGCTAAAATATAAGTTTTATATAAAACAGGATCATCACATATCACATTGCTGCCACTCTCATACTGTACAGTTGCACACTTACAGTAACTAACTGGTTTTCAGCCAGCTGCAATCCTGTAGAATTCCTGTTTGATGGTCCTTAGAGGAACACTACTAACGTGCAGTAGGGTCACTTTTCTTACGGCTGTACAAACATTTTATCATATGTTCTGCAGCACTAGTCTTGCAAATCCCAACAGAAGAAACCAAAGAGCAACACAAAGCATCATTTCTGATCTTTCTGATCTAAGGCCAGAGAATGTGACACAGAAAAAAATATATCAACAAAATGCTTACAGTCTAAGTGAAGTGGTCTGTTGTTAATGGAGTGAATGTGACCTAACACTGACGTTCCCAGTCCGGCCCTGCTTTGATCTGCTCATTCATCACGACCTGCAAGGCCAAACTGACTCAACAGCCTCACTCCCAGGTAATAAATTAATGAGGTCAAGCTATAGGCAAGCAGATGTAATATAAATGCCGATAAATGCATGCACGAAAACAAGCGCAGCCTCCCTCTTCTCTTCTTTCTACTCCATCCTTTACACATGACCTCACATCTAAATATGTAGCCGTGAACAGTTTTGTCCTTTTATCTGATGCCTATAAACAGCTTGGATTCTTTTATCTGAATGATGTAAGAGCAGCTGAAGCAGAAACATACCTTTCTGATTTGTAGCCAACATATGTAGGCATTTAAAGCATGGATGGCTGCCAAAGGTTCCCCTCAGAAGAAGAATCAATACTTTGGCCAATTTGAAAAAATTACAATCATCGAGGAGGTCATGATGGTTGTTTGTGCATTTGGCAAATGGTCTTCTGAATGATAAATGTGCCAGCTCCCTATAATCTACTGACAAGTGTTTTCACGCAGTTTGCAGTGCACTTTCATCAAAAAAATAATAGCCTCACATATGAAGTAGAACAAAGACCACCTTCATTCTCTACAAATTACAGGCAGAGGAAAGTGTTATGCATTAGCAAAAAAAATATTTCAGGAAACGTGGTGTTTCTTTGGTTGTCATTTGTCAATGTTTTTTTTATTTTACATATCAGCGGATATATTCATGTGTATTATATCTGC